ACCATGCTGCTCAATTTATTTCAAAAGTAAGTCTCTTTGAGTTAAGCAGCTCCAGTATGGAGATTTTTATAGAACTATTTTTGTATCACACTGAAGGGTCTTTCCTGACATTTCAAATTTTGAATAACTTCCTCAAATTGTATATTTTATTTGGGATGGGATGAAATAATTGGGAGATGTTCGTTTCACATTTCAGGTTAAAATATAATTAGCTGGGTACATTAAAAATGGGTGGGGGGAGTCATACATTCAAAAGTGAAAATAAATGAGTGTCCTGAAGGCATTGTTCTCAGCAGGGCAGAAACTCACATATGCCATAGCATTGATTCAATTGCTATTCACTTATTTTGAATGACAATATTATAGTTTTTAAATAAATTTGTTCTTTCTAGGTCATAATCAGGAATGAGCATTAAAAAAAATCAAAACTGGAATATGAATGTTGTATTTGGTCCAATATTAATGCTATTGATTGCATGAACTATTTTCTGCAATACCCATGGTGTATAAGAATTTTTCCAGTAAAGTGCAAGAGTTAAGGTGTTGGACTGGCTCAAGAGAGATTCAGTTTCTCCCTCAGTCATGGACACTGAATGTGTGACTTTGGGCCAGTAACCATCTGTATTAAACCAGCTTCCGGTAGTACCTGTGGGGGGAAAATGGAGAAGGGAATACTATGTACTATTGATCTTGGCAATGCAAACAATCACAGATATTAAAGTAAAACCTGCTTATTTCCATTCATTTTTAAGATGGCTGCCAAATTTAATTACTAGGAGATGGCATAATTATATTTCCCTTGAAGACAAATTTAAGTAGAGATCCAATTTCAGAAAGCAGATTGTTTCAAGTTGTTTTCTGATTGGATCCAAATCTGAGCCTCACTTCACATATTTATGTTTCTTATACTATCCATTGATTAATGCAGATAAATTGAGAGCAGATGGTTTAGATCTGAGACTATTACAAATTTAAACATAATTAGAACCTGCCTTGAAGGGTGGACAGCAGCCTTCATACAAGTCAGAGAAGGCTTATTAATACTCTGAACTGTGAAAATATGAGGAAGCAACTTACTTTCTGTTCCATTTCATAGCAAGCATTTTTATATGCTATTTTATTTCATGTCAACCCACACTTCTGCAATTAGGCTCACAATTATAAAACAAGCTTTTGCAACTTTAATCATCCAGCTGCAGCTTTCTATATCTTGTATACCTTACAGTACTGATTTAGAATTAATATTTCTCAAATTTCCTTTTACTTGCCTGATTCCCTTGGCTTTGCAGCTGCCAAAATAACTATGTATCTCTATTTTGACATGACATTTGTGTCATTATACAGGCCCAATTCTTTGGTTTCAATATTACTGTACTCTTGGCCTTTGCTTCTGTGCCTAGCAAACAAAAGTTATGCTCAAATATCCCCCTGACTTTTATTTGCTGGACGGCATCATCCTATTTAAAACAGAAACGTGCTATTTCGTTTTTTTTAACTAGAGGTCCTTGGAAATTAAGATTCTTCATATTTCACTAGAGGCTATTAATTCAATGCTTTCTTTAGTCAGAAGAAATGTATATAGGATACTGGGCAAATAATCATGTCTCTGAAAGTAGCATTCAGTTACAATGTCATACTATTATATAACTTCTACATTAAGCATGATGTAGTAGCAGTGGTGGGTTGCTACTAGTTCAGCCTGGATCTGGCAAACTGGTAGCAGCGGCGGGAGGCTCCGCCCACCCACCCAGATGCTTCTGCGCATGCACAGAAGTGTCACGCGCGTGAGAGTGAACTGGTAGCAAACTAAATTGAAACCCACTACTGTGGAGTAGCCTTTTGAAGTTTTAGTGTTTGTCTTTGGCTAATTGTGCAGACATGTGTAGCGCAGATAATCTTTTCAATGTGACCACTAGCAAAGCAGAGGGGCTATGAAAATTAACACATGAACCAAAAATTGATAACATCTGATAACTCTACAGTCTAAGTTATAGCACTAATTTCTTTATGATCTCTCAACCAAGCACGAAGTCAGCAGATGCCTAAGGAAAAGAGTGCTAACTTGAATACAATAATTGACACACTGAAGGTTAGTAAGTGCTGCCGTCATTGGTGTTATCCTTTGTGTACCATTCTGAAACTTCACTTTATAAAAGCCCCAGCAATAAATAAAGTTTGAAATTCTTTATTCATCTGGCTGACTATCTTAATAAATTAATTCTGGGTGGCTAACAAAGCATTAACAACCCAGAAACCTAGATAACAAAACCACAGAAATTATAATAAAAATGTGAGATAATTATAAATTATTTTGTACAATATTCATGTGATCTGAAACTTTGACTATTGTTCCTGTTTTCTTTACAGAAACAAGTAGTAGTTATGTTTAAGCTGTTATAGAATAGTGATAAATGATTTAGATAAATTCAAATAAAATGGCAGGATTTATTTCAAATAACATCAGGCAGGCCAATATCATCTAGATAGAAGCTATACAAGAAACAGAATCAAGCCCCAATTGCTTCAAAATATCAGAACAGGAGTCATTAGAATTATTTCAGAAGGGATCTTATTACATCTCTTCATTCAGGCAAGTATGAATGAATGTCATTCTTCAACCAGCATGCCACTCTCTACGGTTCCAACAGATTTTTTTTTTTTTATCAGACATTGTCTCTATTCTGTGGAAGAAAGCAGAAGCCTTGCCAATTTCCTGCTGCTTGCACAGATGCTTGTTCCTATTGCTTCCACTCTAAACTCTCTTTGGCAGATTACCAGCAGTAGTAATAATTATTATTTATTAAACTTGTAACTCAATGACTCTGGGAGGCACACAACACACAAATTACAATAACAGCAATAAAACATTAAAAATAAAGATAAAAGGCATCAAGTGCAATAGACCAGATGGAATGAAGCAAGCGGTCTCATTCTCCCTCACTAAAGGTCTGGGTGAAGAGCCAAGTCTTCACAGGTCTTCTAATAATAGCAGAATGGGAGCCATCCAGATCTTGGAGGAACCTCATTTGAACTGAACAAGCTCTTGTCAAAGTAAGACTGTCAAAGACTCTGCAGATGCTTTAAATAAAGCTTTACACTCTTGTATACCTGTCACATTAATTTAAAATTATCTTGATTCAATCTGGAAGTAAGAGTACTTTGGAAGAAAACAGTAGATCTGGAAAAGGTGCAGGAAAAGGCAATTTACAATGGGGTAAGTAAGCTAGAAGAGTTCCCATTCAAGGGAAATTGTAACAAGGATCAGCAATTTTTATCAAGTGGCACATACTGTTATTTGATTTTATGGATGCTAAACAAACAGTACATAAACATACACCCATCATACAATTCTCTTTCAGGATAAACAATATTATGGAAGGCCCATACATGGACTAAGATGTGATAACCAAAAAAAAAAAAAAAAAAATAGACACAAGAAATCTAAAACTAGTTTATAACACTGTAACTTGCTGTACCTCTCATTACCTTTTGTTTCTTACAAACTATTCTTATTTCCAGTATAGTGTACTAATCAGTGCTTCATTGTGCCTTTCTTAATTTAAACTTCTCACCTCTTTTTTAAGGATTTTATGGTACTTAGTGCTATCCAACTGCATTTTTCTCCATCTTCCTCTCAACTTATTCATATGTGTACTCACTTTTGTATTCAATCTACAATTATTTAGCACCTAAATTACACATGCATTTATGTCTCCAACCATCACACCTCTAACAGCACCAACATAATTATTCATTTATCCATAAATATACTCAAACAATCAAGAAGAAAACATGTTTGTTTTGTATTTGCTCAGCTGAACTTTTAGCCAAGCATTCAATTCTCATGCATGCTGAACTTCCATCATACTCTTACTGTATTCTGCAACTTTCGTTATTGTGCAAAACATCCCATAATTCAAGCCTATTAACATTATTAGACACTTTCTTTAAAATACAATAAATACTTTATTTCATTTTATTAAGCATTTTAAAAGGAAAAAACCTCAACATCCAAAAAGAGAAAGAAAAAGCACCAAGTACATAGACAGATTCCCAAATATCGTAACATTCAGTAAATTGAACATTAGATGATTTTGGACCACTCCCAGATTGGGTAATCTACTGTACACTCACTAAGTGAGGTGCTTCAGCACCCCATTTCAATTCTCAGATCTGAATGTTTTACTCTTTTGTTTTGGTGGGGATTAAGAGACAAAAAGCTTTCCAGAGCTTAATGCATCCATTTCATTCCTTTAAATTATCCCCAAAACCATAATGTTGTTAAGTCAATTGCAGAACAGAAGGAAGAAATGAAACCCTGCCATCTTAGCCCAATCTATTTAATCAGGTTTATTTATAGTTCACTTTTCTAAACCATCTCTCACAAAGAATGGACTTCAGGTGGTGTTGCTTTTTGAGAGGTGAAACCTTGAGTTCCTGTAGGAAAGATGGGGTAAAAATCAAATAAATAATGAAGAAATTGCTGATGAGAATTTTTACAAGAATCATTTGTTTTGTAAGATAATTAGTGAACAGTAATTGTAAAACATTACCATGAACAGAAATTCAAATTTTGTCTAAAATCTAGACTTTTCCAATAGCACAGGGCTACCGTAGGTATCACCATCAGTCAGGGTTTTAGCTTCAACACTTTAAAGAGCTGGTGAAGAGCTCTGTAATCAATTATCTTTCAAAGATGGAATTAGCTAAATTATTGGAAGATTAAATAACTGATGAAAGAAAAAGAGTCTTGCTTGTAAAAAAGTTGACTATTGGTCTCCTATAATATTGGAAAATGTTAGTATTAGGATTAGGTCTTATAGAACGATCACATACATTAACAAAACAGCTTTAATTAAAAGACAGACTCCTTCCAGCATTCTCCAGCAGATGTCATCATGAGGCAGCAATATGTGATTTAAAATGTCATGATAAAATAAAAGTAGTACTGTAGTTTTTTTTAGGCATGTCAAAACAAATCATAAGACAGAAGGCAATGCTTAAAAAGGCTGTATTTTTATTCTTCAACATAAAGTCAGAAACAGTATAAACAGCAAAAAATACTAAACATCAATGCAAACAAAAATAATTTGTTCTAAAATAGGTATTCACAGTACATAAGCTTCCCTCAAACATCAGGTAAGCCAAGGAAGATATCCCATGTTGCAGTGCAGCATTTGAAAGCTTTAAATGAGAGATGCGCTTAGGAACAACGACAGGATAACCTGTCGAAACCAAACAAACTCAAATGAGTCTGGTACTACGTGTGACACTGCAATTTCCTAATGGCAAAGATATTCAAAAAATGCTAGTAAAATAAAATGAGCATTTCTATGGACATGTGAGCCAATACATTTTTTAAATACTTCTATTCCATTGTGTGAGCTTCACAGCTGCGAAGCAATAATGGCAGGGTAAAATATTTAACATTGTTGATTTTTTACACTACAGGAAATGGATCTCTATCTTCTGGTGTCAATTGAATTAGTAAAATACTAAGCTTGTTAAATGGATACACTGCTCTAACCAATATCTATGTCTCTTAAAAATAAATTACATCAAGTTATTACCTAGGCAATAACTAGGTAATTTTATTTTAAAAAATGGATTTTAAAGAATGGCTAAAATCCTATTTTAATGTAATGAGGGAAAAGTAATTTCTTCTCTCTTGATTCTCCTTACTAAAAATGTAGCCAATTCATAATGCTTGGGATAAAAATAACAATAACCCAGGCTGTGTTTAGAAATTCTCATGATGTATCATCCCATACTACCTATCATGAACTCACCAAGCCAGTTTGGGGATTGCAAACTTTGAGGTGTTTGTTGTATGGAAATGGTAAACAATTACATGGGCTTTCTGAGGAAGCTGGCTTCCTTTGTGTCAACTCACTAAATCGTCTCCAAATCAGCCACTCCCTGTTATTATATGGAATTAACAGCTATTTGTTGCTGGTAACACCTGTCCATGCAGTAATCAACTTTACTACGTGAAGAGAATACAACTCACCTAGTTTTTTTTTTTCTTTGGAATGTGCATGCGCTAAATTAACACATGCAGGATTTTAAATAAATCCTGTGAGGTCAGGCAGAAAAACAGACAGTATCTCTTTACATGAAAGCTATAAACATTTATAGTTCACAGTCAAATAACTGCACACCATGAATAGTTTTCTGTAAAATGGGAAAAAGACATCTCTGATTATTAAGATTATTTTCTATACATGCAAACAAAAGGAAAATCGCTTATCGCTACCAGAAAAAAATTACAAAATTGTACACAGTGTAAGGGTTTTTTTTTTCTTCCCTGTTAAGTCATCTGGCATTTCTATAATAATAAAGATGGCCTTATTCCAATTAAAATATTGTGCTTTTTTCCTTCTAAATATATATTGTCAGTGTTTTTCAGGCAATGTATTTGTTTCTTCACAATCTGGTTTTTAAGTGTACTTGCCTGCAGTTATGCTTAGCGTGCATGTGGATATACAAATACACACACAGCCACAAAAATAACTTTGCACTAAACTTTGTCCTGAGAAAAGGGTATTTGCAGGTTCTAGCATCTTAAAACCAAGACAAAATGCAATGGCTTGCAACATTTAAGTTCTTATTATGTTTGTTATCCCTGAGGGAATGTCTTTTCTTTAAGCCATAAGAAATTTCTTAGAATCAAGCATCAATCACAAATTTAAATTGAAACATTTTTATTAATAATGATGGCTGAATGATAGTTATTGATTACAAACAGTTGAAGGACTTCCCAGTGACCCTTGTTCTATAAACAAAGTTAAAAATATGAGTGTCCTTTCAACTTTTCTAGTGAAAGATTCCTCCAATGATTTTAACTATGAGTCTCAAACAAATAAATGAAATCCCTCAGGGAGCAGTGATGGCTCCCAAAATCATTAAGAAGGAGAAAGCCCCCCCCCCTCACCTTTTCATTACTTCTTTTTCTTGCTCAGTACCTTCACATCATCCCCATGTTGTTGTAGACAGTTCCTTTATGAACATTTTTTTAAATAATGTAGGAGGCAATTTTTGTATGGAAGCCTCTGCTGAATCAAAATCCTTTTGAAAATGGAAGTTTTCTCAATCCGACACACTAACATCAAGTAATTTTTAACAAGCAGACCAATTATCGGCATATAGCATTATTAACTAGGTTATATATAAAACTTTATAAATATTCAAGACAATCTATAATTGGGTCTTGGAAGTTCCTTTGGCTGCTTAATGATATAATCTTAGGAAAAAAGTAATTTGTTGTATTGTAATATGCTGTTTTGCATCAGCTTTGTATGGAGAGAAATGTATACATATTCAAAGATACAGAGAATACCATCTTACTGAATATATCTCGTGTGATCATAGGTGGGGATGGGTGGAGAGAAATCTATGTTATGGCACAACACAGTATGTTATCTCACACTAAAAAGTAAATGATATGCAAAAACAGGTAATCCTCCATAACTGAGCACCGCCAGTTCATTTATTTATAATTGATTGATTGAAAAAAGTCAATATTGTTTGTTGTACTGTCTTTTACAATGAACAGCACTTTGGTACTCACAAATAGTAAAGCAGCACTGTCTTTCAAAAATCAACACTACTGTAACACCCACTGTAATGTGGCATGCAAATCCACAATTGCAACCCTTATTGATTTTGCATTCATCCAATGGTAATCTTGTTTCAAATATGAGTAGCACAGTAATGTCTGGCTACAAAGGAGATATTACAACAAGGAACTTCATAAAACATGGAATATGACGCTTATATCCATTCATATTTTAAGCACTATAATAACCAACTTTGCAGTACCAGGATTCTGGTACATTTGCAGTACCAGGACTGGACATTATAAATCACCGAACAAATTTCAACTAAATTGGTTATTTAACAATGTAACCATCAAACCCAAGCCACCAATAAATTGGCTATAAAACAAATGTAATGGTTAACTTCACGGCACAAAAATAATTTGTCCTTTCAATAGGTTTCTTTACATAATAATTTTCAGTGACATATATGTCAGAGTCCAAAGGCTAATTGCTTTTGGAGTTAAATAAACTGTGTTTAATTGCGGTCATGTTCTATATCGTTTAGACTGAGCTGAGTTTAACAAGGCCACGCACAGAGTCTTCATGCAGTGAATCCTGGCTAACCAGGCTGAGGCTGTGCATGGTGCGGCTGTGTCCAAGGGGTAACATCCCGGGTGGAGCTTCTTCAGGAGTAAGAAATGGATGATTTTCAGGGTCCTCTTTTAATGATATCATTTCTGACAAGCTTGTTTCTGATGTGAGATTTGGGATGGAAGAAGGTGGCGTTGGTTGTCCTAGTGTCACCATAGCACAGGGAGCACCAAGAGTAATTTTTCCTGGTATAGGCAGCTCTTCACTACTTAGGCTGGGCTCGCTCTGGAGGAGTGGGGTGGCAGCAGCCTGCAAAACGAATTTAGTGCTCTGAATGCACTGATCTTGATCACACTGAAGAATGGGAGGGTACCAAAATAATATACAAGGCATGAGAAATACAGAGATGGAAGGGTATGGACAAAAGAGGAATGGGACATAAAGAGAAAGAAAAGAGTTATTAATTACACTTCCTTGTTAAACTGACCAAGACAGCATGTACAATATATTGATGAATTCCAGAGTAGTGAAAGTATATATTATGAAAAGCAGATAAAATAATTTATAAACATGCTAACTTTTCCCCCACGGTACATTGATGTTTACATATCTCTGTGTAGGTCTTGTACTTTGGCTCTGCATCCTTATTTAAGGCTACGGATTCTTTCAAACAACAGCTGGGCAGATTTGAAGAGCTTTCAATACACAATTCAATATACAGTTCTCTGTGTACATGATAATCTGTACACATTCAAAATTTATGCTTCCATCTGTTTTCTAGCAATGAGAAGAGCTCAGCAACATAACTCTGCAGCTTCATTTGGGTAAAAAGCACATTGTAGAACCAGAGGTGAAAAGAATCATTTAAGCCACAAAGTACAATCTCCTGCACAGGGCAGGAATTCAAATTAATAAATCCCACATAGATGCCTGTCTAGAATTTTCTTAACATATTCACTGAAGGGAGACCAACACCTTTCTGTATAACTGGTTCTTCCACTGAACTACTCTTACGTTTTTTTTTCTAATATTTTCATTTGGTATCTGCCTTCCTGTCACTTAATCCACTTTTTCATGTCCTGTCCTATGAAAGAAGAAAGAACAACCTTGACCGTCTTCTATGTAATATCATCCCTGTCCTAATATTCCTTTTTACTTATTCTTTTCATGTATTCAAATTATGTTTACACTTTTACCTGTTATCTTATATATGCTCGACAAATAAACTTATGATTATGATTATGATCTTTAAAATGCTATCATAGATCCCAGACTCATCATTTTTTCCAGCTAAACATATCTAATTCTTTCAATCTCTTTTTCAAAAGACTGTTTTTAATCTCCTGATCATTGTCTTTCTTCAAACTTTGAATATTGAATCCTCCTTAAAGTATATTTTCCAATACCATAGTACTTAAGATAGGAATTGACAAAAATAGACTAAAATGGAACAGTTATTTTCCATAACTTGTCAATCAGACTTCTGTTGATACAATCTAAACCCTTCATTTATCTGTTTATAGTTGCATCATTACTGCAGACACTATTTAGGTAAAATTTATTAAAATTATATGCCACCCAACTTAATGGCTTCTTGAGTGACTCAACAATCAAACAAAGAAATTACTATAAAATCAATAAACAGGTTAAGTTTAAAGATGGTGAGTGTGACAAAGAGCCAGGTCTTCACGGCTCTTCTAATCAACTACTGTTCCAAAGATCATTTTCACAAGTACTGTTAATAAACATGAATTAGAATTAATCTTCTAGCACCTTTTCAGAACTAATAATTTTATTAAAAGGCATAAACTTTCATGAGTTGCAGATAATTTCATCAAATGTAGCTTGCAAAAGCTTTTTTCCTTTAATAAAATCTGTTTAAAAAAGCTATTCCTTCTGGTTTTTGGCTACCGAACAATAACATACCTCCCCTTCTACAATGTCTATGTATTCCTCATTCTAAAACCAGATTGTTGGGGGCAATATGCTGATTCTGTAAACTACTTTAAAGATATATATTACATCGCGAGTTCGAGAAGTTTGATTGAACTCGCGAGGTTTTCTTTTATAGTGTGCTTCCTTGGACACAACGGCAAGGAAAGTGACGGAGCTTGAAAGGTAAGACCTGCATTCCACTTCTCGCCCGGCCCACCTGCCACCCCCAAATTGCATCCCTAAAGGGGGTGGGTGGCTAAGCAAGGGGCAAGACCCCTGCCATGGCCGGCGTGCGGGGGGAGAAGAGACGGCAAGGGGAGCCATGTCTTGCTCCATGTGTCTCGCTTCTCCCCCGCCTCACCTGCCACCCCTCTCGATAAAGATGCGGCGGGGAAGGGAAGCAGCTGTTAACATTGGGGTGGGGTGTGTTGGGCCGCTCGGCCGGCACAAAGAACAGGGAGGGGAGGTGATGGCAGCGACAGGACATCCAGTCCCACGCTCGCCACCTGCTGCATCCCCAAAATAATAAGACCCCCCCGATAATAAGGCCAAGCCCTTATTTGGAGGGTCAAAAGAAAATAAGACCCTGTCTTATTTTCGGGGAAACATGGTATGCAATCGATGGACAACTGCAATGGATACTTTCTGGTATGTCATAGCATTTGGGTATGTGAATGTCAGTGGTGGGATTCAAAATTTTTTACTACCGGTTCTGTGGGCATGGCTTGGTGGGTGTGACAGGAGAAGGATACTGTAAAATCTCCATTCCCTCCCCACTCCAGGGGAAGGTTACTGCATAATCCCCATTTCTCCTGATCAGCTGGGACTCAGGAGGCAGAGAATAAATAGGGGCGGGGCCAGTCAGAGGTGGCATTTACCAGTTCTCCAAACTACTCAAAATTTCCGCTACCAGTTCTCCAGAACTGGTCAGAACCTGCTGAATACCACCTCTGGTGTATGTGTAATGTTTTGTCAGCTGAAACGGAAGCTTCCTGCAGTGGGATTTTTTTTCTTTTTCCCCTCACTAGCATTTTAATTTTTTTTAGTCTTCAAGTATTTTACCTTATTTATATATTAATGTTTTTAAATATTTTCTTTTTCTGGAGTATCTACAGAATGATGTCACAGAAATTACAATTAACAACAAATCCATATTATAAGGATCTGGACTGAATCTGTAATTGAAGAACTATCCCAAATTTGAAACAGAAAATGATGAAAGAGCTCTGTAAGATTAAAGTGCTTAAGAAGAATACAAACATCACAGGACAGATAAATGAAGTACTGACATTTCCAGGACTACATACCGTAGTATTAAAATAATCCCAGTTCCAGGATTTTTTAAAGAACATACATATAAACGCAGCAGTAACAAATATTTCTAAAATATCTGAAATGTTTTCTTGAACATAATAAAAAAGAGGTGAATCAGTTATGAAGAGATGGCACAATCCACAATGCTGAATCAAGAATAACCTTCATAATACTGTAGAACAACTGAGTGACTGTGGATTGCAGCCTCAAATACTAATGAAAAAATGTTTAGGAAACATGACTTTTGGTGAGTGAGTGGATTCTCATGGCATATTTTATGGCATAAAAAGATCTAGTCAAAGAAATGATGGAGTACTAGCAGTGTACTAGGATGGGGATAAAAGCAAAATATACTACCAACCTTCAAAAAGGAAAAGGTGATCCTGTCAATTACCACCTGGTTAATCTAACTTCAGTCCCCTATTAAAATAATGGAAATATTGAGAGAAAAAAAAACCATAAAAACCCAAATATTTTTAAACATTTAGGCAGTGAAGCAATGGGTATTTAAAGTAATATTAATGCAGGTTTGATGTTCTAATTTTTCCAATTATACTATAAAGATTTTACATGATAATTATATAGATGGTTCAAATTATAATAAAAGGATTTCATATTTCTAATTTACAAATATATTTGTGACATAAAAAAGGATTACAGGTAGTCTTTGCTTACTGACCATAATTGGGACCACCAAATCTGTTGCCAAGTGATGCAGTTGCTAAGTGGAAAACCGCAACATTGCAACAGACTCCCAACTTAATTTCCATTTTAAGTAAATCTCTGCAGTCATTGAGTGAGACATTACACAACTGTGACTTACGATTTCACTTCTGTGTTCTCTCTGCTGCCTGTTGGAAGCCAGTTGTGAAACATACAAATGGCAATCATGTGATCATGGGATACTGTGACAGTCATAAATGAAAAGATTGGTTATAAAAATGGGGTTTTTTTCAGCCATTGTAATTTCAAATGGTTGCTCAATGAGGCAGTCAGTAAGCAAGGACTAACCTTCATATTAATTTAAAAACTATGCTAGATCAGTTAGTTGCCTGGTTAATTGCGACAAAGTTAGTTTTTCAGGTGGAAGGGGATACTTAAAAGTGCTCTTATGGAGATCACTTATTTTTATCATTCATCAATTAGAAAAATAAAACAATGAGGGCTTATCAAATTTGCAGTGTTTCAACAGATTTAGATACTGGGAACAATGAGAGTGAAGTGGCATGGATAACTAATTTAGAGAACCTGAAATCTTTTGGAGAGTAGACTAGTTTTAAAGGACCAATTCTGAAGTAATAACCTAAACATATATACAGTTTGAAATGGTCATCATCACCAAACCATCACATATCACTGGAACATGTTAGACTATTGAATTTTTCTGGAATATTGTTCCCGGATTTACAAATATTAAAATTATAAATTAACAGTACAATGTTACAATACATATTGACGAACATCATGATGCTAAGGACAGATATAAAATCACTTTTATTTTAAATCAAATTCCCTATTTTAACTGTTTAACTGAACAAACATACATACCAACTTAAATCTACAGTAACAAATAAAACAAACAGGCTTACAATCAAAAGTCTGTTTCTGTATCGCCTGACCTTTACTGGTCCTTAACCATTGTCCCCAGAGAGCCAGTTAGGTTATAATTCATGACTTAATAAAATGGGGAAACTAAGCAGAACTTTGCTGAAAGGCATAAAAGAAAGGAAGCAATTACTTACAAAGAGTTCTTCCAGGCTGGGCTTTTATTGTATAATTCCCTAGCATATTCTATATTTTAATAGGGCTATGAATATTATCTTCCTATCAAAATTGATTTTTTATATCTACCGAAGAAAGAAAAATGTACTATTATCTGATGATACCAAAATTATCTGCTGTGATCATACAGCAAAGCATCCCTTGCATATTAGTTATCATTGGGAAGCCTACAATGACAAACCATCATTTTTGTATCATATAAACCACAATTTATTCAAACTTATATAAATGTCCATGTGTGACCATTTAAAGATAAGTTTTAATAAGTCTGTGTTTAATTCAGTACTTATTTTCAGATGGAAATTTTAAAATAGTATTTAAAATAAGAATATCTCATTTAAAGCTTTTTTTTTAAAAAAAAATCCACACGATATGCCATATGGTCTCCAATATAAAAAAGTTAATAGGTCGTGTTGCTTTTAAAATATTGAATTCTTCTATGAAATGTTTAGTTAGTATTGACTTTATGAGAAATATCTAGAAAGCTCAGAAACTACTGTTCAAATGAAATCAAAAGGCTATAACTCTTAGTTTAATCACATGCAGTATTATCAGAACATATGCTGATTTCATTGCAAGCCTCTATCTGAATTTACAACTACCGTATCATTACAAAAATATATAATTCTATTATTTATCCCAGCAATAAATATAATATTTTACTGGCTAAAACCATAATTGATCAATATTATGAGACTTCATTCAAAAGAAACTCTTAATGCTGATTTCATCTCTATTTTGGGGAGTGGGGAAAAAAATTAAAAAACGATTACATTACAGATTATCTATTTCCTTTAGAAAACTCTAGTTTAACACTGATTAAGTTAAATTGTAAGCTAAGGAAATTATTCAGTGATAATGCAGCCATATTAAATTGATCTGATACTCTACTCTTGAGATAACCGGTACTAAAAGGAGATTTCAGTAGCTGGTACTGAAAGGAGAAGCATACAAAAGAAGAACAGCAAAGAAGAATAGTATAGTGATCAGTAAACTGAAACCAGGTTAGAGTATAGAAAATGTAGATCAGAAAAAATAATGGTACAATTGAGGGAAGAGAGCCCCAAATGACCAAGAAGTTGATTACTGAGCGACTTCAAATTCTTTCTTCAGTTTACATATGGAAACCATTGTTATAAGTGTGAGATTTCTTTACAATATCCAATAAAGGCAAAAAAAAGAGGAAAAATTATAGCAAAAAAATCTGACATAACGGATATTAAAATAAGATGACACTAAAGTCAATTTTAAATAACAAATTTATTAACATTTTCTTAGTTTCGTTTGATCTACACACTTCTGCCTAAAAATGGAAATATGCAATTGTTACTATGACAGGAAAACCAAAATAGAGAAAAAATAAGCATAAAGTGTTTTAAAGTAAATCTGTTCATTTATAGCAAGCAAATATTTTATTTCCCTTATATACACTTACTTATAAATTCAATGAGTCTTTGTGTTAAATAAGCATATATAAAACTATGTTATGCATTTAGTAATACTATAAAATATATTATTGGTACTAGAGTCAATAAAACGTTTCATATTTAAAACATAACAAATTGATACTGCTGGCAGATACGAAAAATGATCAATGAACCCACCTGATAAGTCATTGATCAAGAAAAAAGCCTTATATTAATGTTATATAAAACATTTTAAAAAAACATATAGCTATAAAAAGGTGTACTATTACTGCACTTCACTTAAATTTAAAAAAATTAAAAGGTTTGCAATTCAGATGTTTTCTTCTTTTAAAGTCTAGAAATAGGAGGAGTAAAAATATACAAGTAGTTTGACACAATTTTAATATACTAAATGGAATTAGTATATTAAATTATATACTTATTAGAATGCAATTCTAATTAGGATTCTTTTTTATAAAAACACGAGTTAAAAATTGCAGTAGTTAAATATAGTGGCTTTCAGAATGTTCACAAGAAATTCAAACTATTCCGTTGAAATATTCATAGTGACATGCTGAGCTGTATAGGAAATCCAAGGTAGCAAGAATTTATGCAGAACAGCCAGTGGCATTTAATGTAGATAATTTAAAAAGCAATAAATGCCTTATTGAACATCCAAGCATCAAAAAGTAGCATTAAGATAGGCAAAGATTCCGATATGAAACTTCTCTATTCATCATGTCAATCTCAATTTAGATTAATGATTTTTTCTTAGTGTTCTTATAGTGTTCTTTAAAATTTTGCATTAATGCTTATTAAAAACCTGGCAACACAGAAACCTTATTACAATATATTCATGGAAGGCTTTTATTGTAAAGTACTAGAAGGATTCAGTTTAGTGACCTGACTTTTTCTCAGAAAAGTAGAAAAGAGAAACGTTCAGAGTTCTTGATCAATATTATGGGATGGTTCCTACCATATTACTCTGAGACTGTGTGGCCCCATACATTGTAATGCCATTTGAGGAAGCTGCTGGCTGAGGGGTATCTGGTTGGATAAATCCTCTTCGGTCAATTAAACTATAGAATAAATACAAAGTTGTATTACAAATAATTCTTATCAGATAAGAATGAAGCTAACTTTAAGACAAATAGTTTAATATAACAACATGAAGAATTTATGGAAGTAATCTGAGTTCAGAAGAATAAAATAGCTTCTTAGAATGCAGTTGCTTGCAGAAGTTTAGGCACTTCTGGTATTGTATATTTCAAAGAATTGTATATTTCAATGAATTTTTAAGTTGGCAAACCTATACATGGAACAAAATTAAGCACATCATCTTTTTGCAGATTTGCTCTCTATTATTATTGCCTTACTGATGCCTTGTAGTACCTTATGAGTTAGATAAAAATAGTGTAAGTAAAAAACTATTTTAATTTCCAAAATGTTTGCCCTCATAATTTACATAAAGTTACCATTCTAAGTCAACAAAATAGAAACACATTCTATTCATCTGTTGCGTGTCCCTGCAAAGTTATTAATACTAATTCCAACTTTCTCTATAGTTTAAATAGAGAAAGCTTCTGTTATCTATTTAGTTTGCTGTATGACTAACTAGTGGATCAGTACGTACTGAAGATAAATACATTTGAAAATAGAAGTCCAAATCAAATTAACTATTTCGGCTTGGAATATTGTGTTTTCGAAACTATGGCTAGGCATTTTTAAATTGTAATCATTCACAGCTGGACAGTGAACCAAAAAATTATTGTTGAAGACAAAAAAAACTACCCCAGCTGATTAATTTTTCCATAAAGCTTTATTCAGTTTTTGCAGTAGCAAATTAATCAGTGCCTAGATTGGTATACTATAATTTTCCCAGTGTCTTATTAGTTGCATACCATAAAATTACATACCACTAGAGGATTCAAAGGTCATATCACATCTATAGCAATGTAACTCTTGGGAGTTACATTTACCTGACTCAATGGACCCACAAAGGTACAACAAAAGAAAAAGAATACTGAAAAATTGAATTAAATCTCTTACCTAGGAGAAAGGGGCCCACAAAGTGCTGAGCAACAATTAGCACAAATGTTGCCATAGCTGTAAGGATTGAAGTTTTCTTTACTTCTTTTATTTGACCAAGATCCCTTGATCTATAAAGAAATGAATACTGATGCATTATTCTTCATTTTAATAGCACTCTTCAGTTTATACTGTGTTATTTATTCTAAGAAAAAAAAAATCTTGGATTGAAAAAATCAATCTTAACCCAATCCAAACTATGGAAAATGGGTATTTCATTAAATTTTCAAATCTTTTGCAAAGTTTCTTACATAATTATGGGGATCATAATTATCATTTACCAGGCATACAGATCCTAACTTATATTAGAGAGTTTTCCGATAACTATATTGTTTTTTTAGTTATTCAGTATATTGCCAAGACATTTCTGACCATCTTCTTAAGCTTGGAGAAAGCAAATATTCTCTAGCCAGGCCAGCATCTTACTCACATTCTCTAAAACATCTTTTTTTCCAATTAGAATTCTGTCAGAGATTATGACTGAGAAAAAAAAAAACAGCTTGCAGTGAAAATGTTTAAATGCTACAATTTAGTTACCAGCCTACCATGTTATTTTGTTGTTGTAAATGTGGATTGTTAGGTTATAAGTTAAATGCATTGTGAAGTTTTCACAGTTTTTATATTTTTTCTGCAGGAATTCCATGAGATCTGAAAATTATTTCAAGAGTACCTCCAGGGAAAACAAGATTGCGGAAGGCTGTCTAAATATTAGTGCTATCATTGTGGTCTCCTAGCCTAAACTCCATTTAATTAAGATAAAGTCATGTTCAGTGATTTTACTGTAGAACTGTGTCTCAACTATGCTTTGTTTCTTGCCAAGAAGCTATCAGAAAGTACAGTCATATGCATTAAATAGACAAAAATAGGACAGTACACTTGAGTGAACCTTGTAACCTTTTAAAAAATAGATAAAAGCTGACAATGAAAATGGAATACATGAAATCATTAGATGGAGACAAATTAGAGCAAGCGAGGGGAAACTTACATCCTCATTGGTTGTTTGATTGGAGCTGATCAAATAAGTATGAAAACCTGAGAGCCCAACAATGGACCAAACGGAGAAGAAACACACCACAGCTTCTAGGACAGTGATTGAATGTCAAGGCAGTATTAACTCAAAAGTCGGTGTAAATAAAGGCTATTGGCAACAATAGCTAAATGAACATTCCTTCTTACAAATCAAGATTATCACTCAGGATCATTATTGCACTTGGAAAAAACAGACATGCCATGTTTACTAGCACACTGTATTTAAAAAGTTCCATATTTTTCTGAAATATTTGATTAAATTAGTAACTATGCATGTATATACACATTTTAAAAATCCTATAAAATGTCCAGCTTCCCATCCTGTAAACTTAAAAGAGTTATGGATTTCACTTAAAACCAGTTCTGGAGATATATATTATAACTTGCCAAAAGGGCAGGATTAGAATAAAATGTAGTATTGTTTAAAATTATTTGGTTGTAAAATAAAGTAATCCCTTTAATTAAATTGAATTCTTTACCTGCATATTCCAATTTCACACACACGCCACTCATTAACACAGAAACATGCAGGTACACACATGCATATACTGTATATATTATCATATATATATATATATACATATACATACAGTTTCAAATACAGAGATCCATAAGAGGAGGCATATAAAAAAACACTGTCAGGCCACCATGATGCCAGCTCTGTCCCTTTGATTGGTGTATCATGATATTACAGGCATACACTAAAGTGGGTAAACTGCCACACAATTACATAATGCTGCATTTGTCATGCTGAAAGCATTAGATCCTGAGGACACCTCTATCTCTTGCCTTCTAATAAATACAACAAATCAGGGAAACAAGGAAGGAAGGAAATGGTACATAAAGGGGTAGCTTAGCTGCCATGGTAAAGGAAAAGGAAGTGAAAGCTAATGTTCAGTAGAGATCAAGCAATGGGAAGAGATAACTGAACAAGAAAGGATTGAGGTGACAGAAATCCTGTTTAGGCCTTACCAAAGGATTAAACCAGTGGTGAAATCCAGCCGGATCTATCCGGCTCGCACGAACCGGTAGTCCGGGCAGCGGGAGGCTCCGTCCACCCGCCAGGACGTCATTAAGTCCCATTTTTTTACCCTCTGCGCATGCGCAGAAGAGGCCTGCGCACTACCATTCCCGAACCGGTAGCGAAGGTAAGTGGATTTTATGGCTGGGTTAAACCCATCAGGCAAAGGATAGTATCAGGAAATCTTCAAAGATATCTAAACTTTTGGCCAGTGATGTTTGCCATTTACATCTGAACTCATTCAGTGATAACTGCTATTCTTCTTGGCAGTCAAGTCAAGGAAGATCCTCCAGTTCATAAATAATTATCTGTGGGGGCGGGGTAGGGAAATAGTCTTCTTATTAGATTAATGCAATACTTTACCATTCAGTCAGTTTTGTTCTTCTATGAAAGTTAAACAGATGGTATGTGGGAGAAAATAAATATAGCTTATTCTAATATGACTTAACTTCCAATATATCTTCTCAGCCGCATAAAACTAACATGATATACCAATCAAAAGGAACAAATGAATGAAAAGCAGAAATAATATCATAAAGGCAACTTCGATGTGTTTCCGCTTGGTTTGGTTTGGTTCAGCTTTTGATATGCTTCTTTCTTACTGAATTTTTTTCCTTTCTAGTATTTTACTTTATGGCATTTTCTAAATAGTAATAGTACAACTACAAATCTCTGAAATGTGGAATCAAAAAGGCACAGCAGATGGTAAAACAATGGCCAAGTCTTTTTCTTGCAAATCACTGAAGGCAGTCATTCACAGAAAAATAGTAACTCTTCTTTGTACTGGAGCTACAACTTAAAAATGGCTTTCTACAGCAGACAAGATGTAATTTGATGTTATTTCTACCTTATTTGAGATGTACATTTTAAAATCCTCTTTGCCCAGAATTTTAAAGAAATTTTGCTGGAGAAATGCACAAATAAATATTTTTCAGAGATAAGACAAAGAACAGCAAATAGAACTAGAATATAAGGCCCAAATATTTTACTGGGCTGTTTTTTTTAGATATGTTTAATACATTTCTGTATGGTTGTCAAGCAGATACCTGTTGCCGGCCTGGTTACTATGGAAAGTCTATGTGCCACAAATTCCAAAGCCTTTGTATATTTTAGTATTTGCTTCACAAAAACCAAATTTCTGAGGACAGCTAAACAATATGCGAAATAACATACCTATCCCTGTGAGTAATACTTCATGCGCTCCTCCTTCCCATATTTTAACTGTATTTATTATTATTGCTATTAGTTTATTGTTGTTATTCATTGTTTTATCATTTTAAGGTCTACCAGTTTTAATGTTTGTAAGCAGCCCAAAGTCACATGGCAGCACATAAATCCAATAAAAAAAGGAAATATACCTCACATTTAAATATCCCCATAGAGTCAGTTTGTTCTAGTGATAAGGCACCAGACTAGAAACCAGGAGACTGTGAATGCTAGTCCTGTCTTAGGCTTGAAAGCTGTCCGGGTGACCAGTCACGCTCTCTCAGCCATATCAGGCTTGGGCAGTGATCTGGGCAGTCAATTCCCAATGCAACCAATGGATCAATACTTATTTGATCTAAAAACAGTGGATCCTGCACTTGTGGGAAAACACTAGGAAGAAAGTATCCACATCATTAATATAGTACACCAGGTACCAGCAACAACACTTACATGCACCGCTACCATCTACTCAGTATTCTTGTTAAGTTAACGATTATCAAGAACAAGAGGTGAAGCTGCTGATAGTATGTTGCATTGATCCTCATAACTCAATTTCATGCATTTACAATAATGGGGACCAGATGGAAGTGATATTTAAATTTCTTAACCAGAAACTGCCTATCACCATCTAAAAAGAAAACATTTTCCCCTCATCCAACCTTACCATAAGTATCAGAAATCCAATCATATACTTCCAATTAATCAGAACCTATCAACCATTGCTCTATATGTTAGATTGGTGCAGCCAGGGCAAAATAAACAATCTTCGCCATTAAGTTATGATATTCAAATATTATTGAGAAATGTAGCTATGATAACATGTAAGAAAGCATGAAACCATATAACAGTACAACTATCTAAGATTCTGAATACGAAAAGCTTGTTATACAAACACATCTACTCTCCATACATTTATATTTTGCAAATAAGCATGAAGAAGAACTGAATGCAGGGGTGAAATGTAAAATTTGTTACTGCCAGTTCTGTGGGCGTGGCTTGGTGGTGGTGGGGTAATGTGACTGGGTGGGCGTGGCCAACTTTTTTTTTTTTTTAACTTTTCAAAGCATTTTTTTCTGCAAATGCAAAAAAATGCTTTGAAAAGGCTCTGCCGATCAGGCAACACAGCTGGGATCGTCAGAGAGACTTTTAATGCATTTTTTTCTGCAACCTCTTCCGGGGAAGAAGTGGTTTAAAAATGCTTTGAAAAGGCTCTGATGATCCCAACTGTGTTGCCTGATCAGCAGAGCCTTTTCAAAGCATTTTTTTAACCACCTCTTCCCCGGAAGAGGTTGCAGAAAAAAATGCTTTGAAAAGCCTCTGATGATCCCAGCTAAGCTGCACGATCATCAGGGTTTTTTTTTACTTTTAAAAGTATTTTTTTGGAGGAAGAAGTTGTAGAAAAAATGCTTTTAAAAGTTAAAAAAAAAAGCCACTGATGATCGTGTGGCTCAGCTTGACATGGGGGAGGCGGGGGGCGCCACCGCAGGGATTTTTGCTACCAGTTCTCCGAACCACCCGCTGCCATCGCTACCAGATCGGGCGATCCGGTCCGAACCAGGAGCATTTCACCCCCGACTGAATGGGATTAAGATTATAATGCAAAACAGTTTTGGTGACACAAGCAATAAATAAGGAGCAAGCTATCATAAAACAAGAGAAGCAAACTATCTATAAATATTCTCAGGAGCCTAAAAGAAGTAGAACCATAAGCCCATATATGTTCCTAAAGACTAGATGATACTATTATTCTTACTTTAGCTCTCTTTGAAGACCTCAAATCCATTGTATCTTCAGCATTTCTAACACAATTCTTCTATTTTTATTGAGCATGGAGTACTGTTCTTTCCTCAATTATTATTCTGTTGCAATAAACTTGATGAAATATGCAAATAACCTTTCAAAACTGTGTGTGAATTCTGGTAAGTTTATTAAACTTCAAAAATGTATTTTAGTTTCTATCCTGAGCATTAATCATTTGAAAACATATGGCTCAATCCTACAAATTACCGGTATGTTTAAAATGAAATCCCCCCCCATTATCTTTTAAGATCAAAGTTTCTCCAAAATTACTATGAAAAATGAGGAAAACAAGTGATAGAAATCAAGGATTACTTCTATTACTATGTATATCTTTTGTTTACATATGGAATGGATGAACTATATGGTGAAAAAAAATCCCTATTATTAGTGAGGGAATTATATATACTTAAAAACAGAGAAAAAGACAGTAGAGAGAAAGAGTAAATAGTGATAAGGAAATTACTAAATTACATAATGCAACACATTGGAAGGATTTTCTTTTACCAGTTTCTTTCCTTCCTCCTTCCCTCTTCCTTTCTCTCCCCCCCCTCATTGCTAGCCCCTAAATGCAAATGATAATGAATGAATCACTAATTGTTCCTGTAAAGTAATCAACAAATTTGGCATCAATAATCCTTTTGTTCAGAATATATAAAAAGCTCTTTCATTTGCAGGGAATGGAAAAGCATAATTAGAAAGAACTGTGATTCTTTTAATTGGAGGCTACTACATTATTTACAAACAGTGTTTGAACAGAAGCTATTAGGTGTTTATATTTCAGTATTTGTGCTTAATTAAGTAATGTTTAGCCATTTTATGGCTGAAAACCTTTTATTTGCTACCTCATAATTTCCATTAAAATTTGTAGCACTCAATGCTCGCTATTGTGTGGAGATGTTATCCTAACATTTCTAAATGTATGCAATTGCTTAAAATGTATACATTATAAGAAAGCAGTGTGTATACCTATGAGCCTTCTTCTGAATTTACAGGGTTTAAGGGGTCATATTGAAAACCCATGAATGATACACATTTTTTAGTCATCACTCCAACACAATAGCAGAATCAGCTCCATGAGAACCTACTGAGGTAGAGGGAAAAGCAAGTGTCATGTAAACCAATAAAAAAGTATTGCATGACTACCATCCTGGTTTTCTGCTAATTCTCTGAGAATGCCTGTTAAGTATTATAGCAGGTTTTCTTTTGGATACTTTTAGCACGTAATGCACATTATGCGAGGAATTTTTATTTTACAAAGAACCATTTTTGTGTGTGTGATCTATCATATTGAATAGACTTGGCTATTCAAACAAATAGGCTGACTCTGATTCCGGGCTTTTTTATTTACTATTAATTAGTTATTTGGTTTAAAATGGGATTTTATTGTACTTGTTTCTTAACTTGTGTTCGCCGCCCTGAGTCCTTCGGGAGAATGGCGGCATATAAATACATGTACTAAATAAATAAATAAATAAATAAATAAATATTCCTATATAAGCTAAGGAATAAGTCTGAAACTGCAAACTCATTTCACTATCTCATCAAAAATGTTTACAACTGTGCTACAAAAATATTCTGGCCATTAAGATTTATAGGCCAGCTTTTCTCAATCTGGGGCCTTCCTGATGTGCTTGGACTTCTGCTCCCATAATTCTGAGCTAGCAGAGATTGGTCATGTTGGTTGGGGATGTGGGGAATTGAGATGCCACTGCTTTAAAGAGCAACTTGATGGGAAAATCAGCTATATATTACATGTAAAGCTGTCATATATTTTTACATATAAACTCACAGAAGTGAGGTACATATGTTTTAATTTAATGATTTCATATCCATTAATTTAAAAAATCCATAATCTGCCAGCAGAAAGTAAACCGAAATATATCTAAATATTAGTTCTTTAAAAATTATTCCAACAGAGGTAAATGTATTTCAGTGAAAGGATATCTTGCAGGACTGTCTTTAAGTGCAGTTAAAAATCCTGTTTTCTGAGTTCCTGTAAAGATAATACATGTCAAATACAATGAAAGATAAGTGAAAGTATCTGAAAACTCAACATACAATTGTATTTTCAAATAATCACAAACATAATTTATTTAAACCAGCCTTAAAATGTTGATGAAACTATTTAATAAAAAATAGGGAAAGTAAAATCAGAATTGCATATGCAGAATAGTTTCTCAGTAACACCAGATTAATGTCTGCAGGCATTAGTTACATATAAATAAGATTCATGATCTCCTTCTTTTTACTATCCTAATATGGAAACAAAATATTTCAAGCTCAGTTTTCTCCATAAAAAATGTGCTTTGTGATTTATTTTCTCTCTCACGCACACAAAAATGTTTTGGCTGGATCAGGAAATCTTTAACTACAGTTTGACCCAAATTCCAAGCTTTTTACAAATTCCTTTGGAGATACTACTAGGAGATATGAGCAGCCAGCAGTAAATTTCAGCTTAATAAATTCAAAGCCCCAAGTGTATTATTTATTAGATTCATATTTAGCTGAAATAAAAAAAAAGACTCTTGGCCATTCTATGGAATTCTTGAGTGAAGGGCCCTTTGAAGAACTGGCCACAATAGCGTTTTGGGAAATGAGAGGCTGGATTCAGCCTTTTATCTCTTTTTCCATCCATGGTGGCATCTCCCAAAATAGAATATCAAATCAGTTCATGCTACTGAACAAACAAACCACATCTGCCATTGGGCTAAAATGAAACAAAACTCTAGCTGATTCCACCTTTACTAAGACAAGTATATAATATGATTTTTATATAAGTTAGTATGTATGTGTTATTTAGCTTTACAGCCCCTATTTTGTCTTCACAACAGGTTTATGACATAGATTGGGCTGAATGATAATATTTAGTAAAGGATCACCCAATAACGTTCCATCATCAAGTGGTAACCTGAAGATGGTCTCTTCTCTTTCAGTCCAGAACTCAAAGCACTACACCATACTGACTGCTTATTTGATTAACTATGTACCTGAACTAGAATTTGTTAAGATCTTTAAGATTGGTCCACTGAGGTGTCAGGGACCTTGATTTCTACTGAAAGTCTACCACTCAGTGAAAAGAGCCTGCAGAAAAACTGACAATAATAGCTAATTATTCTTCTATATAACCTAATTTAAAAAGGCTACACATGATTAAGAAATTAAAACAAAAACAGTTGGCAAGGATCTGAATTAACAAGAAACTTTTACAGCTGGAAATTATGTTGAAGGCCAAACAAGAAATACCACTTGGGGGTGGGGGAGAGGTTCTATAAGGATACAGATATCCTAAATGATCAAGATTAAAGTTATGACTACATACATAATCTGATTTTACTAGCATACTTACGATGGATGATGTGAGTAATAACGAATGCAAATATAAAAACTGTCAGAAATGACAGAGATAAAATAAACATATAAAAAAATCTGTAGTTTCTTTTCCCCACACAGTTGCCTACCCAGGGACAATGATGATCAAACCGTTCTGAAAAAAAATGTAGAAAAAAAAAAGAATTCAATTAGGAAAAAAATTGGCTTAAGTTCTCATTAACATGTGATTTGTTACATATTATGTTTATGTCATATTTATAGTTCTATAAAGTAGTCTTAAACAATACTTCACTCCTGTGCAAGCCTTCTCAAACCAATCCATATACTTCACTTTTTGTTTTAATTGTTTTATGTAATATTAAGCAGGTCTTTCTCTTACTTAGTCCCTGGGTGTATATACTAACAACGTGCATTTTTTGAATTTACAAATTCCCTTTTGCTTAGCTGAATTAAATGTGTTTATAAGTTCTGAAACAAGTTTCTGACTATCTTTGATGGGCAGCAGAATTTTTAGTTCACTTTCAGATTTCAACAAGCATTTGTTTGGTTGAGTAAATCATCTGTTTTCAATAACTATTTTTGTCATTTGTTTTATTATTTTCCTCTTAAAGCAGGGGTGTCAAACTCGATTTCACCGAGGGCCACATCAGGATTGTGTTTGACCTCTGAGGGCGGTGTGTGTGTGTGTGTGTGAGGCCAAGGGTGGACATGGCCATGGTGGGTATTTGACACAGGCTCAAGATGCATTTTTCCCCTTCCCTTCTTTCTTTCCACAGTTCTTTACTATAACCATTTTCCTATCTCTTCTACCAGATATTACTGGCAAACATTTATTACTTATTCTTCATACTCCACTAAACCTTTTATTTCTAAATTTATACCCTGTTGTTTAATAGTAAAATGCTTTTCCAGGCACAAAAGCTATTTATACTATTGTATTTTTATTATTCAACTAATCTAACAGCAAGATCTAACAGCAGAGGTAAATTTCCAGGATAGTAAATAGAAACAGCTGCCAATTATAGATTGTAGAGTAAATGGATCTACAGTATGTAAAATCTGGCATTAAACTGTAGTATTAACATAGGATGTTGCTTGTTTTCTATCCAGATCAGGCACTTACTTGAGGCCACATAATTGTAATCTAGTCCAACCCAGTCCTGGATTGCATTTTCCCAGATGTGCCAATATGACCTCTCTAATAGAATGGAACTTTGAGGAACTGCTGGCCTTGGAGTCTTCTTTTGTTGGGGATGTTACTTGGAACCCTGACACCTGCAGCAATCTGCCGGCCAAAAATGGGCCACACAGAGGCTGCCTGGCCCGTTTTTCCACACAGCCCGTTTTTGGCCGGCAGAGTGCTGCTGGAGGCCGAGGAGGCAGGCAGAGGCACTGCGGGCTATTCCTTTGAAATTTCCAGGTTGGCCCCGCGGGCCGATCCAGCCCGCAGGCCTTGAGTTTGACACTCCTGTCCTAAAGCATACACTGAATATTTGGGGTAAGTTTCTATAAATATTTTAAGCAAGCAAATTAAACTTTAATAAAATGATAAATTTTCATTAAGATGTTAGCCAATTACTTAAATTCAGCAGCTTTGCTCCAAATATCCTATACTATTGCTAAGGAACATGTTTCTTAGCTCTTGCAATGTAGACATTTTTAATAATGAAACATCTTGAGCTGATTCTGCAGCTATCATATTAGTTAAAGCAGAATACTTTTATATTAATTTTTTTTATTTATTATTATAACATAATATGACAATACAAAACATACAACATTTATATATAAACTTTCTTCACAGCTATTTTGTGATGGTCTTCTTTTGTTATTCATAATTTCCCCTTATTTCTCTTTATATTATTCCATTTACTACTTGTCCCAAGCAGAATACTTTTAGGTAGGTAGTTAAAGATTGGAAAGGGTGAAGGTGTTCTTTTGGCAGGTCCAGGAGAACAGTTTTTGCATTTGCCCTTTGGAACATCGTTACTATCCCACCTCCCAAAATGAGATTGGACCCCAAGCCAAGATGGAAAGGCCTTTTATTAGGCCTGGGGATCTCCTGGGTGGCTATATACTGTAAATTTAATGAACAAACAGCCCTTTTCTGAAAACTCTGTCTAGAAGGTAGAGTTAGGCTATCTCCTAACTGACTGATTAGATGAACAGAACTGACTTTTGTTTACAAATATTCTAACAGCATTCTTTAAAACCATTGTTAGAAAATAATCTGCCACAGAAAACACAAGGGCTTTTGTGTGGAATACCAAAAACCTGGCTAATTCAATGAAGATCATTCACATTTGTGCCCATTGGCAGTATGCCTTCTTGTAGTTTTTTCTGAAGCCTTATGATTTCAAGGTATGACTGCATCCATTGGTTGTTCTTCATTTACATGTTTCTCTACATAGCTAATCTGTATAATGTCAGCTGTGTTTACATTTTTTTCAATTTATTACTAAAACACAGAAAATCTAGAAGTATAAATTAAACTCAGTAACTTGATCAGAAACAGATAATTTGGTGCCTTCCAAGTTGCAATAATCCCTTATCACTAGCCTTTCTGGCTAGCACTAAGGGAAAGCATGTGGATGCCCGCCTTGCATTAAACACAATAGCAATTAATTCTCACCTTGATTATTCTGGATTTAGATTTTTGCCACCCATATAAACTTCTACATACAATTGTTCACAAATTAAAGTTCATTCAGGGGCCTGAAGCCATACCAACAGGAGGTAGCATCACCTGGCCAAATTTGCTCAGGTCTGGAACAGTGGTGAAATACTCTGCGGGTTACCACCAGTTTGCTGCCCGCGCATGCGCGATAAATGCATGCTGCGTGCATGTGCTGTGTGCACCAAACGCACACTTTGAGCGGAAAAAGAAGCCATTTGAAGGTAAGTAGAACAGTGAGAGGGGGAGAACAGCTATGCTGCACGATTTAGATTCGCTAGAAAGCAGGAAATCCTGCTTTCTAGCCAATATAAATCGCACGGCATAGCTGATCATCGGAAAGATCAGTTTGGACGAACCGGTAGCTCTTTTTTACTATCAGTTCACCCAAACGGGTAGCTTTTATTATTACTGGTTCTCACGAACCGGTGCAAACCAATAGGATTTAACCCCTGGTCTGGAAGCTAAACAAGAATCAGGTCTGCTTAATATCTGAATGAATAAGTACTTAGGGTTGTCAGGTAGACTGGGGATTTAAACGAACAGTCCCAGAAGAAGGCACTGATAAACTACTTCAGTATAGTTGCGGTGGAAAATGACATAGGTATGTCCATGAAGTAATCTGGAGTCAATCAAGGGATCTTTTTTTTTTTTTTGCATTTTTTTACCCAAAAGCGTGTATACCCTTTTTAATCATAGAAGCCCAAAACCATTATAATGTAAAAAAAAATAAAAATCATGTTTTGGGTTATAAAATTAAGTATTATGCCTTTTCTGTTACTTTGTGTACTGAAGCAAATGTTGTTTTATTGGGATGTGTATTATCTTTAGCAAAATGTATGTCTCAGCTTATTAACAGATTTCTTAAACATTAAGTTTGGATATGACATTTTACTCTAAAATCAACCCGAAGACCAGCAGTTGCATTTCAAGCTGAAAGGAAGCTTGAGGTGATCAAATAGCAAACTTGAAATTACATATTCGAATCTGGTATGTATAAACAGAGAAGTGTAAACACTGACAATTTGCCTTCGGTTGTACCAGTTTGACAAAACAGCAAAGTACTTTAATAATGAGAAATACCAAATGAATATAATGACTAATAATACATCAATTCTCTGGCACAACTATCTAGACTAGTATGCTTTTTTTTTTTTTACTCACCTACACAGTTATCACAAAGGCTGCAATGTGAGGCACGGGGTGGACGGAAAATCTTGCAGGTGAAACAGTATTTTAATTTCACTGCCTGACCATTAATTATTATTTCTTTTGTTCTGGGAGGGGGACGGTATCCTCCTGCACTAGAGCCATTTGCAATGTCTAAATAAGGAAATAAGCATAAACATAAAAACCTTGAGTGCTTTTTATTTTGTGTACATATTATTGTAATATAAATTAGAAACATCTAAATAAAATTAGTTGTGTCTTATAAATCATTTATTATTAAGAAATCAATATGTAACAAACCAAATGCTACTAGAAGATTTAACTCTTATAAAACACACATTGAATATGCAACTTTCTCTCCCAATTATATCCTCATATTTTCAAAGCTACAAATATCTCTTCCATCTGCACAGTAACAAAGCAGATGACAAACACCAAAATATGTTTAAAAAAAAAATAAGGAGAGAAAATGGAAAACAAATCCACCAGGCTTTATTAATTTATATAACTATTCTAAATAATATACTTTATAGTATAACAAGATTGCTTGGATGTGATTTTCCATTTTCCATATGAAAACGTTTATTAATTGTCAATGATTCTGGAGAATCTACAAATGAGATTGAACTTTAACTGTATCTATTTTGTTCCATGCATACTACTTCCCTTCAGATTTGCTGCTTTTTCTTTGTTATTTGCCTTCACTGATTCATAACTTTGTCCCCCTAACCACATTACTCTCTTTAGTGTCCCTTATTCTCCCATTCAACAGCCTGTTGATAGTGGTGTCTGACTTTTTTCCAAATTCTGCCAGCTCCCAATTTTGCCTGTCTATTTCCCACCCTTTTATTTTGTTTGCTTGATGTTTCCACAGGTGAACAAAGTAGCTTTATGAATAATTAATTCATCTACTACTCCCTTTTATGGCTAATATTTTTCTTACTTTATTTCCTTGATTTCCTATGTGAATCTGGCTTAACTAACTCTTTTCCAAGTTTTTTTAAATCACTATGCCTCTTTGTTCTCCTATATTTAATCACTTGTCCTTTCCTTTTTCTATACATATATCTTATCTGTAGGCAATTTCATGATTCCCCAAGAATTTCAGTATTAACTATATACTGATGACATCCAGCTCTGTTTTGCCTCTATCCAACTGCTTCTCTAGATATTCAAACTTTACTACTACCACTTCCTTGTCCTCCTTTTCCTTGTTTAAATATATTTGCACGCATGCGCAGTGGAGCTGAGCTGGGCTCACGTGCCCGCAAAGAGACCTCTGCGTTCCAGCTGTGGCATGCGTGCCATAGGTTCACATTCACGGCCTTAGGATCTAATTTACAAAAATACCCATGTAGTAATGTGACAAATGCAGTGGCCAAGTATGAACTAATAACCCTTCTCCCAGTTTCTCGAGAAATAAGTAATATGAAAGTGCATGATATTGATAAATACTGAGAGTACCAACAATATGTTGTCTAATTTCCTAAATTATCTACCATTCTGAAAAGGTGATTATCTCACACAAGGCTGTCTACTCTTCTATTAATTGTTATCTCTAGTGTAGAGATATTCATGTTTCTAATATTAAAACGATGTATTAATATCCTTGCCTATTATGCAGAAGTTGTTTATTTATGTAATTAAGAAGTGTTATTTTTAAATAATTCTGTTCTTTAGCCAAAAAAGCTTCCAAGGCAGCAACCCTTTTTTTCAGGAATGCAATAGGTTCTTCATGAATATAACTTCCTTCACTTCGGGGGTGATATTTTTCCATTCAACTACTTAAATGTAATGAAGCTGTATCCTTAAATATTTTATAACAGAATTTTTTCTACAGACTACAATCACTAAAATGGGACTAAATGAAAAATTAAAGTGCCCCAGATTTGTGAATTAAAATCATGAATTTGTTTTAACATGGTTTGAAGAGAATTGCTTGCAACATTAAATTTCATGTAATCTGAGGATTTGACAGCAGACCAACAGTCCGTTTCAAATTACAGAATTTTATTATGTTTTTTATATATTTCAAGTATTTGCATAAGCCTGTTATTTCAAGCAACTGAGTTTTTCCACTATTTTTCTAAAAACTTAAAATTATTCCAGTTTTCAGTGTTGTTTCCAGATTTGTAAATTTCATTAGCAGATAGCAATAACAAAAGCACTTAGACTTATATCCCGCTTCACAGTGCTTTACAGCACTCTAAACATTTTACAGAGTCAGCATATTGCCCCCCAAAATCTGGATCCTCATTTTACCAACCGCAGAAGGATGGAAAGTTGAATCAACCTTGAGCCAACGAGAATTGAAATCCTGGAGTGAGCAGTGAGTTAGCCTGCAATACTGTATTCTAACCACTGTGCCACCACAGGCAGTGAAGAAACAATGCTTGATTTTTAGGAACTCTGGGGTAAGAATGTCATTGAATTGCTATTTAACTATGACATTTAGGAGATTAAGCAAGAGTTATATCTTATTTGGTATTCTCTAAACAGATAAAGGCAAGGGTCTCTTAAAAAGCAAGAACCTATTAAGATGGCTGTAGCGGAGTGAATTGTGCACTAATTTCAACAAAATTGCATCTGCTTTAAGAAGTTTACTCACTAGTATGCTGTGACTTCTTACAGGGTCACAGGTAACTTACAGGTAGTCCTCGACTTACAACCACAAATTGAGCCCAAAATTTCCATTGCTAAGCAAAACAGTTAATAAATGAATTTTGCCCCATTTTACGACCTTTCTTGCCACAGAGGTTCAGTGAATCACTTCAGTTAAATTAGTAACACAGTTGTTAAGTGCATCTGACATCCGTATTGACTTTGCATGTCAGAAGGTCCCAAAAGGTGATCACATGACCCTGGGACATTGCAACCATGATAACTACAGGCCAGTTAGCAAGTATCCAAATTCTGATCACATGACTCATGGGGACGCTGCAATGGTTGTAAGTGTAAAATGTCACTTTTTCAGTGTCACTGTAATTTTAAACAGTCACTAAATGAATGTTTGTAAGTCAAGGACTATCTGTATATCTTCTTTCAGGCTGGCAAACAAAGAGCAGCTATTTAACAAGCATATTGTGTTCCTAGGAGATTTGAAGTACTTTTTATAATGTTAAAATGAAATGTTCATATAGAAAAAATGCAATTCCTATTAGATTCATTATGCAATAATATAAATATGTCCATCCACATAAGTAATGTGCTTTGCTAATATGGCTTATTTTGTAATGCCAAACAATTATTAAAGAAAGAAGTAGTAACCTTTCTAATAAGGATTTTTAAACAAAAGTTGCATTCTGCGTCATCAGCTAATTTACAAAGACTTTTAAAAATACATATGCTATTCTGTGATGAAAAGGGAGTCTTCATCAATTGTGTAATAATTCACTTAAAATCAACTATAACACAATCACATCACTACCTTGCACAATTAAGTTACTCCATCCCAGCCATGAACCAATGCAAGAATTAAATGAAGACTAAAGACCAAGGTAATATAGGGGTGCAATAATTATTTCATCATTTAGCAAAGATACCTAGACAAAAGCCTACCTATGGAACTCAATGCTCTTCTAAGTGAGCGAGGGGCCGGTGGTCATGAGTGAGTGGGTTAACTGCTCTGATCTAGCAGGATTGAGTCTGACAGTTGAGAAGCTCCTCCTCCTGTTGCTGCTTCCCAGCTTTCTGACTCGATCTGAACTGGATCAGACGCACCCTGCTACCTTTCTACATCTGAGTAAATTTTACCAATTCCTTAAGGTTTCTTCTCCTCAAACAGCCTTTCTCCTGCTTGGTGCTGCCAGCGTAAAGGGCTTCAGCCTGATACCGCGGTAGACCGCTTGCGGTGGAGTGGGATTGAGGCTCCCTGCGGTTGAGCCTCTCCCCTCAGCAGCGTGAAGGGTTCACGCCCAAACCCGCTGCAGGAGCCTCCCTGTTCTTCAGGTAGTAGGCTCCTCTCGTTAATTGCCCGGCGCTTTGAAATCGGCGCTTCGGGCGGCTGCACCTCTCAGCTGACACTCAGTTTTTTTCCGACAGCCGGAGAGAGCGCTTAAAGGCACGTTTGACTCAGGCGCCTCGAACAAGGCTGCAGCTTGATTCCGGCGAGTCGGGTGGCTGCCGACTTCGCCGAGGGCTGATTTTTGGTGGCGCTTGTTCCCTTTAGCGCGCTCTGCACCTACGGCGTCTCCTGGGGTTTTTCCCCATACGCCCACCGGTTTCATCGCTTGGAGAGCGGAGCAGCAACGAGGACAACCTCCCAGGCTGGTAACAATTTGGTGTGACTGGGGGGGGGGTTGCAGGACAGTCGCACTCGCCATTTGCTCCCTTATCTTCCTTTTGGAGATCAATCAGCGGCCGCCATTTTGTAGTGCCTCGTGGCCCTTAGAGGCCTGCATCACCACAGTAGGATTCAAAATGGCCACTCGTCAATCTAAGGCTCCCAAGCGTTCTTCTCTGGAGGATTCCTTACCGGGCCCTTCCATTTCTGCCCCAGCTAAAAGGTCTCGGAAGGCTCACTCCTCCAAGGGGGAGAAAGCTGCTGCTGCCAAAGCAAGAGAGGAGCTTCGTCTACACCAGGCGATTGAACGCTCCATTCAAAAGGCCCTTCGGGAGGCCTCAATTAGGGAGCTGCTGACTCAGTCCACCTCTGAGCCTTCACAGTTGGGGTCTATTTCACAATTACCCCCAACTCCAACTGCAGCTGCTGGGCCTGTTCCAGAAGCCTCTCCGGCTCCTCTCCCTTTGTCTCCTGACAGAGGTCCTTATGTCTCCCCATTACAAGGGGAAGTTCGGGATGCTCTATTTGGTCCCCCGTCTGACCCTGCCCCTCCTAGGACAGCCTCCCCACTCCTTTCGGGGGTCCCTACAGCGGCACCTTCTGCCCAGGTACGAGACTTCAACCTCTCGGATGATGAGGACTTAGCACCGGACCAACCGTCCTTTGTGGGACTTTTCAAGCCCCAACTGTTTAGGTCCTTGTTGCATAAGGCTAAGATCACTACCCATTTGGGTTCCTCACAACCCCCCTCCTCTCAAGGGGATGGTTCAACCCCTGCTGTGCCTCTCTTTGAGGAGGCTGTTGTCGAATCTGAAGAGATCCCTGGACCCAAACTTTTTAGGGATGTCCTCAAAAAGCAGTGGACAGCTCC